ACAAGTGACTAAAAATAGGCTTTTGCCGAGGATATTAGTCTGCCTCTAGAAGATTAAAAGAAAAACTAAAAATGGCAACCAACCCCACATTGAAGGAAGTTGCCTGGAAAGTAGAGAGTTGGTAGAAGGTTGCGAATTTGCCACACAAAACATGATAGCATATTGGCATACCTTTATTCAAAGATGCCGCCTGTGGTGTACTGGAATTGAAGTCGGATGGCATCGAGTAAACATCTTGTCTGAGCCAACCATAATCACTAAGAGATTTATTTGATTAAGGGGGAACTTAACAAAAGCATTTTTGGTTCAACAGGACTAACCATGGATGTTGTCCATGTAGCAAACTAAAACATGATTGTCATTTTGCTTCACTGTAAAGAATAAAATACAAGCACCTGCACCAATTGATCACATGGATATGCATCGAAGTTCATTACCAATAACTTGTAGGAGTCAAGTATCATCTGCTGTTGTCCTTGAGGCTCTAAAATCAGAATATCTTACATTAAAAATCACACAGGAAAACATGGCTTATCAAACATCAAGAAAGCATTCACATAACATACCAGACGTTTGAAAGATCTGACATTTGCTGTCTTCTTGGATTTCTCCGAATCTGGTTTGGCACGATCCAGAGCCTGTTGCAAAATAATGTAGATTTCCTGTATATGCCTTAAAGTAACCTCAAAGAATGAATGGTTGCTAAAGAATGTGGGAATCCTACCTGAATTAAAGACTCCACACGACGTCGCATCCGAGTATGCATAAATCCCTCTGAGCACTGAGAAATATGCAGGGAAGAAATTGAGATTTAAGAAGCCACTATAAAGTGGGCAAAAAAGGAGGAGCCACCATAAAGTTGGCAAAAAAGGAGGAGCCACCATAAAGTTGGCAAAAAAGAGGAGCCACCATAAAGTTGGGAACAAAAAAAAGAGCCACTATAAAAGTTGGCAAAAAAAAAAAAAGGAGCCAAAATGAAAAAAGCTAAATAAAATCCCAAATCTCAGCATGTCCCCTAAGCACTGTGATATAGTCTCTTGTCCCCTAAGTAGGGATTAAAAATTCTTGGTGAAAAATCCACAAACATGTTTTTTTCCATAAACTGTTGTCACAAGCGACCTGAACAATGCATAGTGTAACAAGTATTTAATGAATTTCTTGATCATTATTATTGGTAATTATTATGCACTACACTCATATCAGCCTTATTCTTTATAGTATTTCACAATTCTAAAGAATATGAAAGAATTGCACATTAAGCAAGCAAAATATATGAAGTAGGCAAAAGAAAATATATGGAGTAAACAAAAGAAAAGGCACACCTTAATATGATAATTCACATATGCATGAAATGTTGATAAGTTCCACACGGTACGGTCCAATTTTTTGGCTTCCACATGGCGAGGGAAAATTACTGCATCATTACAAAATATGAGCAGTCATATTATCAATTAAAAGGAACTCATATTTTTTTCCCTTTCTTTGAAAAGGGTGAGAAACTCAATCCTTTGAGATTACCGAAAGTCACAAATCCTGCATTTGCAGATAATGCATTCTCTGGAGCTCCCTTAAGTTCCATAGGTGGAGAAGGAGACCACAAACAAGGAGGAGCATTATTAAGTCCAGCTGTTCGCCTTGCCTCCACAAATTCCTGAACAATAAGGAAGTGAGATAGAAATTACCAGAAAGGTTTTACTTGAGAGATTCAGCCTTCAAGCCTTCAACAACAGAATTACTGTGCATATTGCCACACCATAGTGATGTGATAGGAAGCTCTTACATCGACTTGACCAGGAAAATTTACTCCAGATTTTACATATTCACAAAATGAAACTCAAGTGGCAAGATTTAAGAAATGCAGCCAGTATATGGAGCAAAGATTATGTTTTCATTATACCTGCAGGAAGGAAGTTGCGAGCATGGTATCTATGGAGTCTTTGAATCTCATTGGAAACACCACTGTCACCTTGTCTGCCTGTTAGAAGAATGTGATTTCTCAGGATGATTGCAGGATGGCATGTTTTTGGGAATGGCACAGGCATAGAACTTAAATGCAAATAAAGTAAATTTGAAGAATTAACCAAAAAATAGGTAGATTTGGGCAAAACATACATGGCTAAATACTTATGTAAACAGATTCTCATAAAATGTAATAACTCAGTTTGAAAGTAATTAATCCATATCTCGAGATAAAGGAAATGCAAAACAGAAAACTATCTTGTCTGATGCCACTAGCTGGTCCAATGTAAAATAAAAAGTCTGATACAACTGTCTGATCAAAACTAAAATTAGCAGTGTCACATTACAGATGATTATATGAAGGTACAAAATGAAGTTAAAAAAGTTTGGAAATCATAATTCACACAATTAGAACAGAATAATTACTTACTTACCTTTGGAACAAGGAAAAAGGACTCCTCTGGTCGATGCACAAGAGCGACAAGCCGATCAAAATCAGGAGCAACTGTCCTGGAAGCAAGATGTTTTAGAATTACCCTTAAAGGGGCACCCAATACCACTTCCCTGATGGATGCAACCTTGACCAAAAGACTATGTTTGTAATCTGCAGGATGTCAACAACAGAAGCTGTCACAAATCAACATGAATGGTAAATAACAAGGATCTTACGTTGACAAGGAATCCAAATTGGACACAACACACTGACATATGATATGCACATTCACATGTTATAACACTAGTTACCAATACATAAATAATTTTTTGCCACAGGATAATAGAATGAATACCAAACCACCAAGTGGATATTAAAACAGGTATATGTGTTAGAACAAGGGACAAAAAAAAAAAAAAAGAAGGAAGGAAGAAGAAGAAAAGAAAAGAAAAATAGAAAAATAGAAAAATGAGTTCCCTAGACAAGTTTTCATGGTAACAAGAGGACATTTTCATATTCAATGAAAATCCTTCTAGGGTTCAAAAAAAAGCATCAAATCTCCCCTTAAGATTATAATTCTTCAACTGAGAGTAGGGAGACTTGGAATTTCTAGTATGAATCTTTAACATTTCATGAAAGTGAAGAAAAATTGAATTAAAAATGTAAAATGGGGAAAAAAAAAAAATCAAAGCATGATTTTGTGGGAAAAAAAGAATGAAGATAAAATAGTTAACAATTAGCATCCTGTCTTTTAAGTATTTTGGCATATACATGATGCTAGCTCATAATGACCTTAGAAAATAAACTCGTTGAACCTTCATCTGATGGAAGTTTAGACAAATTGAGTTTGAGCGTGAGATTAAAGCCGTCTCTTGGGGGATCAAGAATTTGCACAATGACACCATATGCAGCCTTTATAGCTTCTATTGCTCCAAATGGAAGTCCACCAAAGAAAATAGTTTCTGGTGGTGGGGTGGGTAACGACACCGACAGCAACAGTATATGCGGATTCTTCATTGACACCTATAATACAAAAGTTTTGGAATTTTTACTAAAATCACAAAGAAATGACAGGTGAAAACAGACCCATTTTCTGTTTCAACAAATTGAGACAATCAATTATGAACTAATTGATGTAAACTGAAAAAGAAATCACCTGAACATGGTAACGAATATCGTCAAACTCAACCCAGTGGTAATCCAACTCAACTGCTCTATCGAGGCTGCAAAATAGAATCAAACATTTGATAAATTTGTGAGCTTTGCATTTTTAGGCAACAATTTTTTTGCAGAATATAAAAAAGAGCGTAGGGTTTCTTATCTACGTTACAGATTTGGTATGCGAAGAAACAGAGTTGTGCGCAGAGATGCAATGGGATGAAGAAATATACGAAATAAAACGGGGGAAGAGAAAACGCACCTTTGAACTCGATTCAGCAAGGTCTGGAGAAGGAATCTTGAATGAGACTGCAACAGTATCATCGATTTCAGCTTCTTTTCTGCGCTCAAAATGAAAATTGACGTCTTTTCCGGTCGGAGAAGATGTGAAAGTAAATGGGTGGAAAGGGATCGGAGGGAGAAGTCGTGTTGCAGAGGAGATTCTCCTGAGATGATCCCAAATTCCCAATGTACCTCCGTTCTTAGTTACTGACCACGGCCCACGTCCATCCGAAGCCACTTGAGCCGGGTTTTGAAAGACTTGAAACTTGAGAGAGCTGGATCGGGCCGGTCTGCTTTACTTCTAAAGGGGGTGTTTAGTAGGAGGAAACTCTCTTTTCAAAATTTTTTGAACTTTTACTTTATAAAATTATATTTATATATTAATATTGCAATCAAATGGAGTAAAAGTGATATTTTAAATATTTTTTTCTTACACAATTCTTAACTCATAAAGTTTTCTTCTTACTTTTTTTTTTTTAAACAAGTTTCTTTATAACTTACTTTATATTGGATC